GGTAAGAGTGGCCGTGCATTAATAATAGCAGTAACTTCTGCTAGTAGTGTGCAAAGAACTTCATGGGTTAAGCGAGCTTTTAGCTGCAGAAACATTGAATCTAAAATTCTTCTTGCAATGCCAATCAGGCGCTCCCATGAGCCTCCCATGTGCGAGCTGTGAGGTGGATTGAATTCCCAATTGCATCCTTGCTCGCTGAGATACCTCTGTACCATCTTGTCCATTCCAAGTTCCTTGCATGCCCCAACGAAATTAGTACCGCAATCGGAGCGGAGCTGTTTTGCAGGACCTCTTAATGCAAAGAACCGCCTGAGAGCATTTATGCAACTTGATGCATCCATAGATTCAATGACCTCGATGTGCACAGCTCTCGAGCTCATACAGCCAAACATGATTGCCCACCTTTTGCTCTCTGCCTGTCCTCCTCTGGTGCGTCTGGTAGTGACAGACCAGGGTCCAAATACATCAAGCCCCACGTATGTAAAGGGAGGGCAGATTTTGAGACGTTCAGATGGCAGGTCCGCCATGTGCTGCTCTTCAAACTTTCCACGCAGCTTGCGACAGGTTATACATTTGTGAAGTACTGAGTTTATTAGCGACTTGGCTCCTAAGATCCACAGTCCTGCTGCCCTGATTGCTCCCTCTGTCAGATGACGGCCTTGATGTATTACTTGCTCGTGATGATGTCGAATGAGCAGCAAAGATGTGTGGCTTTCTTTAGGGAGAATTATCGGGTTCTTTTCGGCAGTTGATATCTCAGAGTGCTTTAATCTTCCTCCAACACAAATGAAATTACTCTCCATGATTGGATTGAGTTTACGCAAGCGGCTGCTTTTGGATACAGGTTGATCAGCTAGCAGTGCTGACAGCTCTTTTGCAAATGCAGCTTTTTGTGTTGCTTTCAGTACAACATTCCTTGCTTGGTCCATCTCATCTGGAGTACGTGGTAAGTCACATTTGTGCCAACCCTTGCAGTTGCTGTTTTGGTTTGAGTGTTTGAAGGATTTTGCGACATGAACTAGAAGCGCTACTCCTCTTACTAAAGAGGTGAAGGTGGAGAATCTTTGAAATCTGGTAGATATAAGTCCAGCTTCCTCCAGGTAAGTAGCACATGTTTGGATTTGAGGACGAATTTCTGCATCATTCTCAGGCTCAATTAGCTCAAACATTTTACTTGATTTTGTTTTTTCTGCAGGTGGCTGTTGAAGGAAGGAGGGACCGGTGAACCAGGAAGTCTGCGCCAGGCATGATGCAGGTAAGGATCGCGACGCATGATCTGCTGGATTTTCCTCAGTACGTACATAGTGCCATTGCTCAGGTCTTGAGGACTGTCGGATGCGCTGGACTCTATTGTGAACATACACATAGAATCGCTTTGACTCATTATAAATGTAGCCAAGGACCACTTTGCTGTCTGTAAAGAACTTTATGTCATTTAATTCCAGATCTAGCTCATCCTTAATGAGATCTGCCATCTCAACTGCTAAGACAGCAGCACACAGCTCAAGCCTGGGAATCGTAGGTTCAGACAGGGGTGCTAGTTTCGCCTTGCCCATAACAAACCCTACTTCAACTTGCCCATCTTTCTGAAGCACTTTCAGGTATGCCACAGCACCTATGGCCTTGGTTGATGCATCAGAGAACACACACAATTCTGTATGCACTGCTTCAGTTAGTGAGGTTTTAGTGTATGTACGTGAGACGTGAAGCTTTTCTAGCTCTTGAAGAGAACTTCTCCAGGCCACCCATTTGTTTAGTTTGACCTCCGGAAGGGATGTGTCCCAGTCTGCACTTTCAGAGGTAAGTTCTCTAAGAAGGGCTCTTCCCTGGATCGTGACAGGTGCCAGTAGACCCAGAGGGTCAAAAACACTGTTGACAGTGGAGAGAACTCCACGACGGGTGAATGGTTTGGTAGTGGTGGATGTGGAGTAGGTGAATGTGTCAGTTGAGATCTCCCATAACAGACCTAAACTCCGTTGTGTGGGAGAAGTTTCTCCACTCAGATCTAAGTCCTTAATCACTGGAGCACAATCTTCAGGAGGAAAAGCTTCCATAACAATCTGAGAGTTTGAAGCAAACTTGTGCAAACGTAGGTTTGACTCAGCTAATGAAGCCTGTGTTCGTTGGAGCAAATCGATAGCCTCAGCTTCAGATGGTACAGATACCACACCATCATCGACGTAGAAATGTCTTTCCACAAACTTTATGGTATCTTCACCATGATCTTTTGCACCTTCTCTGATGGCTCTCCGTAGTCCGTAAATTGCCACGGCAGGTGATGGACGATTGCCGAAGACGTGGACATTCATTCGATACTCAATAATTTCCTTGTTGACATCGTTGTCCTTGTACCATAGGAAACGGAGAAAGTTGCGGTGGTCATCACGCACCAAAAAACAATGAAACATTTGCTGAATATCAGCTAGGATTGCAACCCTCTCTTTCCGAAAACGTAGCAGGACACCAACAAGGGAATTATTCAGGTCAGGGCCAGTGAGGAGCACATCATTGAGAGAGACACCAGAGTAACAAGCACTAGAATCGAAAACCACTCTGATCTGATTGGGTTTTTGGGGGTGGTAGACCCCAAATGTGGGAAGATACCAGCACTCATCCTCTTCTTTTAGTGGTGGTGCTACCTCAGCATGTCCGTTGGTAAAGATCTTTTCCATGAATTCCACATACTGTTGCTGCATCTCAGGTTTTCTCTTGAGGGTTCGTTGCAGGCTTGAGAATCGATTAATAGCTTGCTCCTTGTTGTTTGGCAAGCGTTGGCGTGGTTCTCTGAATGGTAGAGGAGCTACCCAGCTGTTAGATTCATTTCTGAAGACATTTGTGTCCATAATTTTCAAGAAGGTTGTGTCCTCCACAGAAGGGGCAGGTTTATTGTCATGCTCGGTTTTGCAAAACACTGTCTGTCCAAGTGTCATCTCAGTTGCCTTTTTAAACACACTGCTCTGTTGTTTCTCTCTGACCTGCATAAAGCTTGTACAGGGTTGAAAAATTGAGTGACGACCAGTTTCCAGGACACTGGTTTTAAATGTGTTAACTGTGGGCTTGTGTACATTACCCAGGCACACCTCTCCTATTACCACCCATCCCAGGTCCAGACGTTGAGCAAAGGGGGCGTTGTTTGGTCCGTTGACCTGCTGCCTGACCTTGTGTGCTCTAATCACATCTCTTCCTAGCAGCAAAAGTATTTCTGCTTCTGGTTCTAGGTCTGGAATGTACTTGGCAATGTGTCGTAGATGAGGCTGGTGAAGAACTGCATTTGGAGTTGGAATTTCAAACCGATTGTTCATGATTTCATGACACTCAATGAGTGGTGGAAGAGATATGAGAACTCTGCCATCCAGAGACTCAATCTGGAATCCTTCTGCTTTCCTGCCAGATGTTTCTACAGTTCCAGAGCAAGTTCTAAGATTATATGTGAACGGCTCACTCTCCAAATTGAACAGCTCAAAGAATTCTGGTCTGGCTAATGAACGGTTGCTCTGGTCATCCAGAATTACATAGGCTTTTATGGCCATGTCCTTGTTACCCTTTGGGTACAGCTTTACAAGGCAGATTTTTGAACATGAGCGACCCCACTGACCAGGACCACAAACCTCCGTGCAGCTTGTATTGACAGACGTCATATCAGAATTATCCTCTCCCTTCCCGCCGTCCTCTTGTGATGGTGGAAGAGATTTGACTACTTGAGGCGACGGGCCAGGGTGCATCGCTGTATCATGATTAGTGCTGTTGCATTCAAAACATTTCACAAAAGACTTACATTCCTTGGCGTGATGAGAAATTGAGGAACAGCATTTAAAACATATTCCTTTCTCCTTAAGGAAGGCTTTTCTGTCATCAAGGAGTTTGTTTCTGAATGTTCTGCATTTTTTCAATGGGTGTGGTTTATTGTGTAATGGACAGATTTTGTTAGGGTCTTCCTTGACTGCACACTCATCTGTTTTGTGAACAGAGATGGGTTTGTTGGTGTGAAAACTTTTCCCAGTGAATTTGTCTGATTTAACAGTTGTCATAGCACTGCTTTGATACATAAAGCTAGGGTCATTTCGCTTCTTCGCTTCATGACACACAAAGCTGCAAAAATAGTCAAATGGAGGAAAACGGCCATGACTTTCTTTATACCATGACCCCGAAGTCACCCATTTGTCCTGAAGCCCATACGGAAGTTTATCTACAATTGGTGCAATCCCACGTGAGGTGTCAAGGTACAATAGGCTTGTGAGATAACCATCTTCTTTAGCACCTTGGATTTCCATAAGCAAATCTCCGAGTTCACGTAATTTGATGTGGTCTTTAGCTGTGATCCGAGGAAAACTGTCCAAGCGCTGAAATAGTGACCTTTCAATGATTTCTGGTGCAGCATAGCACTCCCGTAGTCTTTCCCATGCCTTATACAATGCAAGATTGGGATTGCTGACATGCACTGAACGGATGCGCCTCACCATTTCACCAGATTCCCTCCCAAGCCATTTAGTCATGAGGTCCAGTTCCTGGGTTGCTGTGAGGTTAACTTCACGAGCTGCACTTGTGAATGAAGAACACCAAGATCGATAATTCTCAGGCTTATCGTCAAATTGGTACAGTCCTGAACAAACAAGATCACGTCGTGCTAAATACTGCGCCAAAGGCTCTGCCTGGGGTGGCGTGCTAGTTTGAGGAATGCACTGAGGACTATATGGCTTCGCATGTATGTTCATAGAGGGGTTTGTCCTGTCAACTTCAGATTTTATAATACCCGTGGATGGACTAGACAGGTTTGCAGCAGGTAAGTGTACAAAATCAGCATCCTGATACTTTGGCTTGTCATTAATAGATTGTTTATGTGGAGGGTCTTTTAATGGAGGACTCCATGTTATGAAGCTGTTGTCAGCATGAGATGCTGGAGCGTTAGGCAAGGCTGAAAAGCTTGCAGAGGGTAAATGACTTGTAAGGTTTAATTGAGAATTTACATATTCACTTGTGCGTTCAATTTTTACTTTCTCTTCGGATTCTTCTTTTTCAGCTGCAGCATGCATTTCTATTTCAGCATCTTCCAGTACTTGTGCCTCAACAGCAGCTACATCAGCTTCTCGTTGTAGTGTTAACACTTCCAGTTCAGTGTCTAATTTTACTGTTTCTAGCTGATTTTGCGCTTCTCTTGTGGCCTTTTCTATCTTCAGTTTAGCCTCTTGGCTAGCGTATGATGCTCTGACTTTAGCAGCTTCGGCTCTGGCCCGAGCACGGGTTACACTCTCTGATGAAGCAGATGACTTGCCACTTCTAGCACTGCGCACAGACGACTTGCTGCTTGCGGACATCTTGACCACTTTCACATCAAAGCTGCCTTTTCACTGTAGTGTTCTCGTGCAGTGTGTTGTGACTGACTAAACACCGAGTTAAACCATAGCCAATGAAGACAGAGTCGTAGCAAGTTTGATCATTTACTGTCACTCTTCTTATTAGCATTTATGGTGAAAACTGCAACAAAAATAACAAAACAATTCTCAGAAATTGAGTTTTGACAGGTATTTCCACTCACATATACATAACATAAACAGACTACAGTTCTCCCTGCAGTAGGAATTACACTAGCAAACAAAGTTATTAAACGTTGTATTTTTTACAAAATAATCACTAATATAAAGTCTTCAACATGTCTAATGTGCAAAACATAAACTTACGGCATTGCCTCTATGATGAGTTTAAGCGGATGGCTTAGATTGTCCGAGAGAGCGCATGTCTGACATGGCTTCCACAAAGAGCCAGGAACACTAACAGGAAGTGACTAAACAGGAAGTATGATATAATGCAAAATAAAAGTATTCCTTTTTACACACGAAGTAGATTAATTAAATAAATTATGAATTTCACATTTTAACAAAGGAAATATGTATATAAAATATTTAAAGAAGATATTTTAAAGTGAAACTTCTTAAAGGGCAACACACTATTCTATTCTATTTTATTTCATTCTAACATGTATTTGAGGTTTATTTTATGTTATTTTGTCAAAGTACATTGAGTGTATTTTTATTTATTAAAAATAATACACTGTATATTGCTAAAGCTAGCATGAGGTAGTGAGTTTGTAAGGTCCATTGCATTGTGTCCTAATGAAACAACAACAACAACAACAACAACAACAACAACAACAACAAAAACAAAAAAGCAAGAATGCCTAGACTTGTGTCTTAAAGCTGGATAACAAATTTCTCAAACACAACTGTATATTGTGCTTTGTTTTCACATTTATTCCTCCAAAAATATTCAGTGCTTAATACTACTGGATGGAGGGAAACCCTAACCAAAGTCAACACATGGTTTTTGGCAGTTTTTCCCGTCTTGCCTGGAGAACAAAGTTAAAAGAATTTGTTGCAGAATAAGCCCTATTTCCTGCAAGGGTTTATACCAGTCATCAAATGCCTGATGCATGAAGAGTAGAGAAGATTTGTATTAATTGGCTGACTGACTGACTTACTGACTGACCAACGTAATCTTATGGCAATTCGTAACTTTTGGATTTAGTGGGTAATTCGTATGAATTTGTATCTAATTTGTACAATTTAGTATGATTTGCTTATCACCCAATGATGGTTAGGGTTAGGGGTGGGGGTTGGGTGCCATGCCTTCTTTTTAAAATCATACTTTTTTGTACGACTGAACAGGAATTAGTACAAATTAGCCAATAAACTGACAAAATGTAAAATACTTTCGTTTCCTCGTGAGATCAGGCAGGACTGACTGACTTGCTAAATGGTTGGTTGGTTGGTTGATACAAAAACTAAATTACAAAAAAGTGAATATCACAATCTGACTTTAGACATTCCTTTAAGGATTGATGACAAATTTCTTCTCACCCCATTATTAATGGCTATTTAGTGGACATCCTGTGTTGCTCACTGTGAGTTATTTTCAGGTAACAGTGATGAATGTCATGAGGTCTGTCCACTGCCAGATTTTCTTTTTTAGGTGCTGGGCTATAACATGCAACTAAGAGATTGCAGAGTTTTTCCCCCCTCAAACAGCTGGAGCGTCTTCAAGGACTGGCTGAGCTCCACATCATTACAGCTGTTATCAGCAGTGGTGTGCGTGCTTGTGTGCACTGCAGATGATAGCCGCTCTGTTAAATGGCTTATGTTATATGTCACCGAATGGGTAAAATGAAGGCTGTAAAGTTTATACGAGCACTTACAGGCAGCAGAGCACTATTAGAGATGGCTGTAAACGGATAGTGTTTTTTCTGCTGGTCTCTCCGAGCGAAAACACAGATTGATTTTACATATTGATTCGACTCAGAGAGCCTGACTTTTGACTGTTGGCAGAAAGTCTGGAGTGGTCTGTAGATTAGTCCACCCAAGAACTGCCTATTAACAGAAGAAAAAGCCATTGTGTTCAGTTAAGTGATTTTTTTGTATGAGTAAATCTGAAATCAATCATACAACAACAGACCAACAACATGTAACAAAGTAATAGTTTATTGATAGTAGGATAAAACAAATGATTAGAAAGTTTTATTTTTATTGTAGGTTTGTTAATGTATGAATTATTTAAGGTAAACATTTCATGTAAGGGGTTTAGTAATAACCTGGTCATTCAATCAAATTGAAAATCTAGCTATTTTGTTTAGTGATCGGTTTAAGCGCCTGTCGGCGTAAAAAAAAAGAAAAAGAAATGAACAATTACTTCTGATTATTTCTTTCACTTGGTGGGCTTAGTATTCAAGTATAAAACATTTATTCATTCATTCATTATTAATTTTCTTTTCGGATTTCTTTTCAGTCCCTTTATTAATCCGGGGTTGCTACAGCGGAATGAAACCACACACCACACACACTCATTCTCACTCATACACTACAGACAATTTAGCCTACCTAATTCACCTGTACCGCATGTCTTTGGACTGTGGGGGAAACCGGAGCACCCGGAGGAAACCCACACAAATGCAGGGAGAACATACAAACTCCTCACAGAAACGCCAACTGACCCAGCTGAGGTTTGAACCAGTGACCCAGCAACTACCAACTGCGCCACAAACATCGCCTCCTTTCCCTGATTTATTATTTTTGTTATACATTAGAGTACTCCAAACAAAATATCTTGTCAAATTTTTGAAGAGCTGATGCAGAGTCTGAACATAGTCGCATGCAATACTCACACAGACGCCTTTTAAAAGGCTGAATATCCACGCGCTCCCAATAATGAGGTGCTATCATTGGGTGATTAGTAAATTGTAATTTTAGTAAATTGTACTAAACTGTACGAATTAAGCTGAGGTCACACTTGACTTTTTTCCCCATAAACCTCCATTCAAGTAGGAATTCATGTGAATTAGCCACTGAATCAAAAAGTTACGAATTGCCGTGAGATTGGGTTGGGTGTACACAATAAAAATACATGCGGACGCCAGTAGGTGTATTCTGCCCTCAGTGTGTCACTACAAAATTCTTAAAATAAAACCTCTTACATTATGAAAACAAAATAAAAGTTAAAGTAATTATTTTATCAAATAAGTTGTTAATTAGTTGTTTTTTTTTAACTTAATCTAATTTAGCTACTTTTTAGACTCACTAGTGTGTGGGACATGGCAAAATAATATCCATTCAATGAAAAAATATGACAAAACTTGACAAAAAACATTGTGATGTGGTATTCCTTTGTTAAGATGTCCATGGTGATGTTTACTTTCACTGTTTCATTTAGGGAAACTCCTTCGGTAAATAAATGATAACGTTATATCTGAACTTATCTGAAATAAAATGCTGCGCTTCCCACCTCCAGTCGCAATGACTTCTGGGACATCTAGAGTGAGTTCCGTGGTGAAGTCTGCATCGGTGCGTCCTCGATATCAAGAACACATTTGGAAAGTTTAACGCATCCTCCGTACTTGTTGTCTTGAGTATTGGAACTGAACTTATGCAGCTGATGATGACGTTGCATGAGAACGCAAGACCGCTGAAGAACGCATATTGAGAAACAGCCAGAGAGAGAAAAGCCTGAGAACACAGACGAACCCACAAGTACTACATTCATTAATTCATTCATTCGTTTTCTTTTCGGCTTAGCCCCTTAATTAATCCAGGGTTGCCACTGCAGAATGAACCGCCAACTTATCCAGCACATGTTTACGCAGCGGATGCCCTTCCAGCTGAAACCCATAGTTGGGGAGCATCTATACACACTCGTTCACACTTATACGCTACCATCAATTTACCCTATCCAATTCACCTACACCACATGTCTTTAGACTGTGGGGGAAACCGGAGCACCTGGAGGAAACCCACGCGAATGCAAGAAGAACTCCACACAGAAACACCAACTGACCCAGCCTAAGCTCGAACCAGCGACCTTCTTGCTGTGATGCGACAGCACTACCTACTGCGCCACTGCGTCACCACAAGTATTAGATGCAATACAATATTTTGAATACAGCAGATGTAAATTGTTTTGCGCAGACGAAAGTGAAGGGGTTGGGGGTGGGGATGTTGAGATGGCGGAGGGGTGTCGTGGACGGTATTGAAGAGCAGGGGGATTTATCGTGGATGGAATTAAAGAGGGTTGGGGAGTCAAGGAAGAAATTGAAAGTGAACAGCAGACGGTTGAGGAGGTGGTGCACAATCCCTTTCAGATATTGTGAATATCATATTTCTATTAAATTCACACTTGGCGCTCTGATTTATCTCAATGCAAAAATATGCAGGCCTATTTTAAAGGCAGTCTATGAAATCAGTTACCAGGGATTTTAAAAAAGTTTAATGGGTGGATTGAGATGCTTATTAGTTGTGTGAATCAAATTAGCTCACCTTTATGTCTATATGACACTGCTATGCAAATATAGGCATATTTTAATGGCAGTCTATAGAATCAAATACTAGGGGTGTTTAAATGGTTTTGCAGCATGACAAAGCAGCAAATTATTAGTTTATTGAGGCAAAGGATATAGTTTATAGTTTATTGATAGCAAGAATTGTACCTTTAGTGTGACCAAAAGTACACAACGTAAAGGTAACATTAAAAAACATTGAGTAAGTATAATAAAATATCTGATCAATCCATCGTTGCCCAGCTTTACTTGTCAAGTGAGGTTTGACAAACTGAAGCTACGGTCACACTGGGCTTTTCTTCCCATAGACTTCCATTCATCCGCACGTGAATGTGTCAGACCGGAAACGCAGGGTCATGCGTTCATTTTTGCAGATTGCTGCCGTGCAAAGTGCAAGCTTGAAGTCTGACCTGCAAAATCGCTCAATTTTTATAATACCTAATAAGCATGTCTAATCCCGCCCCTTTTCGCAGCGCCGTACGACAGAATTTCGCACACACAAACTCTAGTGTGACCGTAGCTTAATTTTGAGAGGAGCATTCAATATGATTGACCGCGGCTGGTCTTTTATATACAATCATTAGTTAGCCAATCAGATTAATCCAAACTCACTATAAGTAGCCTAGAATGAGGAAAAAAAAGTCCCTTATCACCGTTTTCTGAAGAAATCCCCCATCCACCCCTTTTCCCCCTTTCTTCCTTTACCACAGGGAGCTCTCAAGAACTACCTGATCTGGTACTCCCCTTACATGCTCAATCGACCAGGTGGGAGCCCTGGGCTCAATTATCTCCGAGCTCAGGGTTCTCTCCCGGGACAGCATGCCAAACCTACTAAGATTTGTCAAACAATAAAAGTGTAAACTCTTGAAAGTGCTTTTGTAGATATTGTATGCTCATCACAGCAGACTCATATAAACATGTGCACTCTAAATGAAAGACACAAGTCAGTCAGTCAGTCTGTCAATAAAATTTTACAATTTATAATTTTGGAAGCTCTTGTGCTTTATCCTGTGTACCTGAGAACGTTTCATGAGACTACACACAGCCTAACCTCAGGTGCTGACAGAATAAAGTACTGAGACAATACTGCCACCTAAAATCACATCTTTGTTGT